TGTGGTTAATTGCCCATGGAGTACAATAAGCCTCTAATAGTTGCTGCTCTGCAATAATCTGCACACACCTTCACATAACCTCTACAAGACAAGCGGGAAAAGAACACTGACATAAAAACAAGATAATCCTATACTCTGGTGCACATATTACTGTCTACACTTCTGAATAAAAAGGTTACATATTGCTAACGCCATGTTTTATTTCAGGTGGACTTGCTGCGGTGATATATACAGACACCTTACAGACCATCATCATGATTATTGGATCCTTCATTCTCATGGGTTTTGGTAATAAGCAATAATCCTTATTATTTTATCTTGCACTATTGATTTGTTTCATTGTGACATCATTAAGAAATGGAAGAGTGAGCCTTAGTGTAACCATATATCCCTGTCTTCCCTCAGCTTTCAATGAAGTGGGGGGTTATGCAAATTTCGAGACACGCTACATGGCTGCAATTCCCACAAACACCTCTAACATCAGTGCAGAGTGCTATGAACCTCGGAAAGACTCGTTCCACCTTTTCAGAGATCCAATAACAGGAGACCTGCCCTGGCCCGGCCTGGTGTTTGGACTCACCATCCAGGCCACCTGGTACTGGTGCACTGATCAGGTCAGTAAAAATACTATCAGTACCTTTGACTGTGTGGATGCTTTAATTCCACTGACTCAGTATGGCGGACTTCTTCAGCGTACCAGAGCGTCAATCAGTAATCAAAGAGCGGCACAACAGTAAACTCACATACTCACTACTGACGTCACTGTACATCTCCTCCAACATAACTTTCATAAAATGAACTCAAACAACATATATTTAGAAAATATGTTCCGGCCCTTTTACAGCTGACCAGCAGAGCCCACACGAGCGCAAACCATTGGAATCATTACTTTAGTCTCCTGCTAACTCCGGCTACACATTCAGCTCAGCAGATCAGTTCTGCTGAAGCACCTTTTTCTGCCAGATGGTATTTATCAAAGGCTACTAGCTTTATAATCTATATATACTACTTATGACTCAGCTTGCCTGTGAACAGAAAGCACAGCAGTTACAGTAGCTGCTCCTAATATCTGCTGTAAGCTGTTTTCTCAGCAATGGCGGACTTCTTCAGCCTGCCTGACCATTAACCTGTTACATATGGCGCTGAGCGCCCTCTGATGGCGAAATTCATACATTGCTAGATATAATAAATTCTAACGCTAGTTTCTGGCTGTAAGTAATCTTCAGCATAAAAATAAAATGGGGGGCTACTATTTTCATACCTGGTTCTCTTTCATAGTGCCACACATTCACGGCCTTTTATCTCCCTGTTTTGGACAGAATCCCTGAGGCCGTCTAAGCTGATAGTGAAGAGCCATGTCATATTACAGCTCTTTGGAGTAAAAGGTTGATCTATGAGCTGAATTCCTGAGATTTTTTGAACCTATAGATGCCTAAACACAAATTCTTCAGTTCACTAATAAATAATGGCATCCTATTTTTACTTTAACACCGACAGTAAATGTAAAACAGACCAAATTTGACCCATTTTCAAATGAGAGAAAGTACTTGTGCGTGTCTCTGTTGGTTAGCTTTCATTGAAATAATTTTAGTCATAGTGAATGATGTTTATGTTCTCTTGCTATCTAATGTGCATGACGAGTTATGCTAAATGTGTCTAATGTATAGGTAAACGGACATACTGTATAATCTAACGACTGTCAATAGCCACATCTGCCATGTTGTTTTTTATGAAGAAAAGATAAGAAATGTCCAGTGCATGTAATAGTCGTTATCCTAATATTACTATGAGTCATACTTTTACTTAGCTTTTGTTTTCTAACATTGCCATTTATTAATTTATGGCTCAGTTCAAATGATTCATCTCAAAAGCTCCACTTGCCTTAAATTGAAATCATCAATATGTTTGTGCTTCATCTGCTCACTCAAAGTTGCATACACAGAAATAGTTATTCATTTACAGGCACATTCACCACAACCAATTACAATTTATTGAAATTACTTTAGAGTTTTTATGAGTGAGGAACTTTAAATAACGTAAAGCAGCAAAAGCTCTGCTAAAAAAATCCAAACATTTTTCTTGATACAGTAGAAGAATTAAGTATTTAACACTGCCTTTAAATGCTCCGTCTTTTTGTGTAGGTGATTGTCCAGCGTTGCCTCTCAGCCAAGAATCTCTCTCATGTGAAAGCAGGTTGCATTTTGTGTGGTTACCTGAAGGTGCTGCCCATGTTTCTCATGGTTTTTCCTGGGATGATAAGCAGGATCCTGTATCCTGGTGCGTGTTTTTCTATTTCCAAGTTCTGTTGTCTTGAGGGAAAAATCTGGTGTAAAACAACAATAAAGTGTAAACAATTTCTTAAAACATTCAGATGTGGTGGCATGTGTGGTCCCGGAAGAATGTATGAAACACTGTGGAGCTAGTGTTGGATGCACCAACATTGCCTATCCCAAACTGGTTCTGGATCTTATGCCAAATGGTGAGTGGATCGACAACATTGTCTTAAAATTTCAATTAACACTTTTGTTTCTTTATGTTTTCCTTCACCTTTGTCTGTCTCTCTTCAGGTCTGAGGGGTTTGATGCTATCAGTGATGATGGCCTCACTAATGAGCTCCCTTACTTCAATATTTAACAGTGCTAGTACTCTCTTCACCATGGACATCTATACTAAGGTCCGTCCCTGTGCCAAAGAGAGGGAACTGATGATTGCTGGCAGGTAAAACTGTGTTGGCTTGATGTTAATATGATTACTGTTTTCATGCTTGGCTATAGCCATGACTCTTTGTTTATTCTTCCTTTCAGGGTGTTTATTGTGGTCCTTATTGGAATAAGCATAGCCTGGATCCCTGTGGTGCAGTCAGCCCAGAGTGGTCAGCTCTTTGACTACATCCAGTCAATCACCAGCTATCTCACTCCACCTGTGGCCGCTGTCTTCATACTCGGCATATTCTGTAAACGAGTTAATGAAACTGTGAGTTTCCTTTTAGTGTACAGTTGCTCTTATATTTGCAACATAAATGTGTCTTTAGTAGCATACATAGCAAATACAGGGACCATCAGAGGCTCTCTGGTTTGGGGGCAGACAGACCTGAACAGAGGATATTACCACGGCATAGAAAAAGTTTAGTCATCTGCACAAAGAAGGCAGCCTCTTAAGACTTGGAGAAGAACTGAGGTTGTTAAAAGTTTCTTATTGGAAAGGCTTTGCACATCATGGACCTGTAAAGGTTGAAATGCCTGTTTAATGTTGAATAGATTAGAAGGATTAAAGCTGTGGTGTAACAGACCTGGGTAGTGGTTCTCATCTTTAAGGGAGAAAACCAATGAATCACTCTTTTTAGCCTTTTCATATAGAAGAATAAAAAATATGGTAGTTTTCTTTCCAAAGTGACCATCACGTTACAAACTATAGGTCCTATGGGCTTGTTATCTACAGTTTTAAGGCTGTGCATCCAGAAATGACTGTTATCTGATCAAACACAACCCATATATACTTTGTGGATTCTGTAATTCAGTGTTTTGCAACCACTGTGCCGCGGCACACTAGTGTACCGTGTGATCAATAGGTGTGCTGTGGAAATTATCCAATCTCACTTGCCGTATTTTCC